GATACCGAAACTGCATGCGGCCCAAAAGAGCGACAGATGTCTTACCCGGAAGGGACGTCTGCTTGCCCAGCATGCGAGGCAGCGGACGTGGATAGTTGCCGGCCATATGAGCTCCCCCGGCCGAACGCCAACCGGAGCAGCAAAAATCCCGCATGGGGCGCGTCCAGCGTTGCCGCGTTCTGGGAGCCGGGCTATTGGGACCAAATCATTCCGGTAACAAAGGGGTGGACGCAGGAAGTTTAATAGCATTCCGCGTTTTGGAACGCGAATCTGAAGCACGGCCGATTACAGTCCCGCTTCCGGTTGTAGGTAAACGCACACGGCCTATCGAAAGTCTTCACTGCATAATATCTCTGACGTGTTATATGCTATTTTTTATTTGTAAAACCGGTGTGTCATTTTAAATATTTCCTACGGAAAAGAAATCCTATGCCACAAGCTTTCTTACAATCTTTCTTAAACCTAGACTAGACAATGACAAGCTATTTCGAAATAATTTATTTAATCTATAAGAATATGCTATAGATAACAAAAAAAAAGTTTTGTGTCGGCCACTTCGGGCACTTTTCACGAACGCGTTTTATCGAGACCCTCTTGTTCTGCGCTCAGTAGCGTGTTGCTTCGCCAAGGGTAATTCTCTACACGATGACTTTGCAGATGGCTTCCTGGTCGGCCACTTCTCGCTTGCCGGGGGACCATTGTTGTCACGCCTAATATTATATAAAAGATAGGGTTTTTACATTTGTAAGCATCGATCGAACACTGCTACTTTATCTACGCCTAAAGCAAGCTCCAGTTTATCAGCAGTTATAAAATCATCTCTGAGCACTTGGGGCCAACACCCGAAGATGGCAATTCTAATCGGCCATGTTTTTGCGATTCACACTTCTAAAGGCTGGAATTCCGATAAAAGTTATGCGTCCACCCCTTTGATAACGGAATGGTTTGGCCCCAATAGCCTGGCTCCCAAAACGCGGCAACGCTCGACGCGCCGCGTGCGGGATTTTCACTTATCCGCTCCGCGTTCGGCCGGTTGAGCTCATATGCCGGCGACTGTATAATAGACCATGTGCGAAATGTAGAGCGCCATCTAGTACCGCGCCGAGAACTACGTCCGCCATCTTGGCAGCGGCGAGAAAACGAAACCAGTGACCCGACCGGGAAAGACCCCACGTAAACAAGCGACCGCGCTTCGTACGAGAGATGCGATGCTAACGCGTTGCTGCGTTCCGCTGTGAATGCAACGATAAACCTTCGATTCGTGCGTGACGTGGACGAAAACGTGAATCCCATTCTTTCTTATTTTTATTTGTTACTCAAGACGCAGTTTTTGACAAAAAGCAATCTGTGACAACGCGAAGAAACATGCGGACGTTATCGCGCAGCGGGAAATCATTTACAATTATTGAACTAGGCCCTAATCCTTACACGAAGTCGTACCGATATTGTTTCTGAACTTGTTTTTTTCTTTTATGCACGTTTATGCACGCTGAGTTTTTCTTGATGCGCAAGCAGCTCAATGTATGCGGACGAGACTAAGGCTGTCAAGCGAGGCATTATGATGACAGTTTCAGTAATCTACGCCACCAACCATAATTGAAGAGGCGTATGGTTAACAGTGAACAACAAAGCTGAAAGCATCACAGAGCTTCATTTTAATGTCATATATTAAAAAAAAAATATTACTTTGGAAAACCAGGAAATAATCTCAATGCTTTGCAGCGACTTCTATACACTTTATCCGGCGTCGGTAAGCGAGGTTTGTATAACACCTCTAAAACTAAACAAACTGATGGGCTCCGGGACGATGTTAAGATGTGCGCATTTATTACAGCGATAGCAGTTAGCGGGACACTTCGCGGATTTCGCGCCGTCGACTCCGCTCCACATCGACGCGGGCCCTATATTCGGCACTCCACCAAAACATCCCACGTTGACGTCACGCTTCTGGCGTCACGCCCCGCATCACGTCACCTGTTACCTGGCGTCAGCTGACATCATCACGTGACACTGTCATGTCAAGTCACGTTGCACAGTGACGCCACGCGGGCTAATGACGTCAGGTAACACCGTGAGTTACGTCATGTCATGACGTCACGTGTCAGTACGTCGTCGCATGACACAATGACGGCGCGAAGTAACATAAACAAGAAACTGCTCATCATGGAAGCAGCACAAACGAAGCGTTTTCATTAAATACGCCAGAAAGGTTTTTGGCCGATAAAATCAATCAAGCTAGGTGGACTTTTAGCCGGCGAAACCACGGACGTGAAATTAGGTGGAGACCAGTCTTGTACACGTTACTAAAGAAAAGTAATCGATTACAATTACTATTACTCTTGGCTAAAAAGTATTCGATTAGATTACTTAATTACTCGACGGCAAAAGTAATTGGACATTACTTAAAGAAGTAATCGTTACTTTTCCGATTACTTTATTGTGTGAAGACACATCTTTGGCGCTCGTAACAATGAACTGCTTCCAACCTATATTTCACATTTGCACAAGTATTGAAGAAAAAAAACTGGCTCCCTCTTCGTGGTCGTTGCACCTTCACAATGTGGACACAAGCATAGAATTCGTTTGAAAACGTTTAATGATTTGGGCGGTCGCCAGTGTGTGTGTGTGTGGGGGGGGGGGGGGGGGGGAGCGGAGGGGGTTCTAGATCTTGTTAAGCTTGAGCAAGGGTTGTCGCTCAAAGTTTGCGTCGCTCATTTTATTATTCACATGTGGATGAGCTCGCATGTTATACAAAAGAGCAGCAGCTCCAGGATTTGAAACGGATCATGTGTAGTATCCATTAGCGGAAGAGATCGCCCCGACGACTTCTCAACTCGAAACATTGCTTGTCACAAAGACGACGTAGGGGAAATGGGGAAATATTTTAACTGCCTTTGTTATATTTTGCATCCGATTTAGGCATTCTTCGGTTCTGGTTCTCCTACGGGCTGCGAGTAGGTACCCTAAGCAGGATTTTTTTTTTTATTATTTCTGTGTGTGTGTGCGTGAGGGGGCTAGTTTGAACGAAGGACTCACAAAGATACATTCTGCTTCCTCAAACTTCGCCCTGAATGGCCTTTGTCACGCACTGTGGCTTCCCTGGGGCTTCCCTCTCCCAGTCCCGGCTAAAAAAAAACGGACATTTTACAGAAACTGTACATAGAAAGAAATTGGCCTCAAGTTCCTACGGCTCCGCAAAAATCGTTCTTTTTTCCGTTCGAAAAAAAAAGCAAATTTTATATTTGTCATTTTATAAAAAAAGGCGTGTGCCCGGGGGGGGGGGGGGGGGGGGGGGAGGGGGGAGTAGACAAATTGTAACGGTTACAAGAAATTTTATTACTTCAAAAAGTAATCAGATTACCCTCGTGATTACTGCATAATAAAAGTAATCAACTGATTACAGAATTACTCCAAAAAGTAATCGATTACAAGTAATTTGATTACTTGTGATGCGTACGGTACAAGTCTGGTGGAGACACACGCTTGAAATTCGAGTGCGCGCTTGAGGAAACGTTCTTCAGTGATCACAAGGCGGAGCTAGTTTGTGTTCAATAGCATCGCATAGGACGTCCGGGCAGTCAGATGAACGACAGGGAACGGCTCGTGCATGCGCGTGCAGTTTCGTCGTTCCCTCGATTTCAATATCGGGCGCGCGAGTTCCGAAGTGTTTTTCAATTACCACGAAGCACTTATAGTTTGTGCATAATAAAATAGTGTAACGTGCTCACGGAATGCTCTCTACTTAATACACCCTCGTTGGTTCCAAAACGCTATAGAATTGGGTCCGGTGTGTTAGTCGGCTTAATGCGAAACGCCTACGTGGACTCTTTGGTGTGCTCTCGCACCTTTGCCGTTCGTTCGGTCCATCTGCTCCGAAATGACACCTGAGCGGCTCCGACGTCGCGCCTTGGCTGTCGCAGTGTTTCACTTTACGGGTTGCGCAAGTGCCCCGACTTTTTTGTTGATACCTGGAAGGCCCTCATTAAACGAGGAATGGGCTGCTGAAAAAAGAGATGCGGATACTTCGACCCGCCTTGCGTTTTTTAAGCAAGCAGAGAATTGAGGCGTCATTATTGCAAATACGGCAGGCCATGCCACATACTTTATATCATAAATGCTAATTTTGTTCTTCGCCCGTACGTTATGAACGGCCGAATGTACCAACTCGCGAAGCACACTTTGGTCGCTCAGGCCACGTGTTTACGTAGGTAACAAAGCAAAAATCCTAAAGAAAAAAGAAACTTGGGCATTCATACGACCCTTATTCCCATGTTACAATATAAGAAAACCACATTACATATTGTACGAATTTTCCTCAAAGAGGAACGGACAGGTAACCAAGATATTTCGCCATGTTGTCTACTATACTTTCTCTGTCAGACGGCACTAAATGGCGTTGCCTTTTTTCACCTGTCTTTAATAAATTTACAAATAGCGATACATTAATCGAGTAATGTGACTTTCAGCGCCGACGTTTTCATTGTTTTATATGTAGACTGATTTTGACACGATTCTCCATTTGCATAAGTTGGTTCATGGATCGATAGACAGTTCTGCTTTGCTTGCTTCTTTACATTTTCGCATTCCTGTTAACACAAGTTCTAGAAATCGTAGAGTGTTTTATCCAGATGAGCTTAACTTGTCACCTGTATCACGAATTCAACATGTCCTTAACACGAAGTATAGCGGCATTGATTTTTTTTGTACAACTTTGCCCCATATGTTTTACACATGTGCATGATTTTAAAATCGGTTTGATTTGGGATATATTTTCTGTAACGGAAATGTAAGTCTTGCATTGTGCTTTACCGCAAAGGCCAACCGGCTGTTGGTAAGCACGCAAAATAATTATTGTATTGTATTGTATTGTATTAGTCTTTCGTAGGGTATTATGCAATATTAGTCGTATGGGTGAATATTGTTTTTTTTTTTAGGGCCGATTACATTTCCGAATAGGCTTGGAATAACTGCCCAAATATGTTTCTTCATATGTTTTTTAGGTGAACCAATGGAGTACCACGCTGTTTACGGCGACATTGATGTGTGTGCGGTAACCAGGATGACCTATATAAGTGGTAAGGTCCATTTATTATCACAAATAAACATATATATATATATATATATAAAGCTCTAGTAAGTTTTTTTTTTTTCAATCACAACTCGATGAGCTTAAAATACCGATTGCTCAAGCTGTTTTAGGTACTAGGGTAGTGAGCTGGGCGAGTTGGTAAACGTTAAACATGATGAAAACAGCTCAAACGACGGAGGCGAATTAAAGAATCACACGGCACGACAAAGCTGCCCTCGAAACTAAAGTCTTATTAGGGAAAAAGACAAATAAAAACATCGTAGTCAAAACAGCATGAACAACCTCCTACTCATCTATCAAGCACCATAGCTTCGGAGCTGAAATACTTCAAGGAACGCCACAAACAATCCAAGTAGGAGTGACGTACGGGCACCAGTGATGTTTTTGGCAGCTCAAAAATTGATACAAGTGTGTTCATGAGTGGTGATAGGGATAGTCGCCCAAAAGCCATGCGCACTACAGCGTACCGTAGACCGGTTGCGACTTGTGTTTCATCCATTGTTTACAAACTCCTCCCATCTTGTAAGAAGGTCTATGTGGGCCAGACGAGCATGTGTCTCAATGACTGGATTAGTGGGCATTTGTATTCGCGGGAGGTCACTGTCGGGAGGCTCTGGCCAACACACTGGAGAGCACAAGTGCGAGTGCGTGCCTGATTTCGGTAAAGTTGCGTCCTGGCCAAACACAAAGAAAAAAATACGATATTTTATAGAAGCACTTTTTATTTCCAGTTTCGGGGACCTATGCGTCACCGTGACGTCGGTGGCTCTGCTAGATAAAGATGTTTGCTTTTCGGAAGCTAATATGAACTTCGTTGTTAGAAGTGTTTCGGCTCCAAAGTTAGAGTGGTGCTTGATAGATGACTGGATGCTAAGGTAGAAAGCTGGGATAGTTCGCATGCATTTAAAATGATGTTAGACTAGGTGATTGTTGATGCTTTTTGTTTAGGTTACGTTGCTAGCTTCATGTGTTTTTCATAGGTAAAACTTTAGTTGAGAGTATAGCTTCGACCTCTCGTGTTTGTTTTTTTTACTTCGTCTTCTTTGTTTTAGCCGTTTTCGTCATGTTTTAGTTAGCTTCGAACAATGTATAATTCTCATTATCGTCCCATCAACATATTGCGCAATCAAAATAGAATCCGCCCTGTGTTTTTAAATCTTTGTGTGCCTTTTTCTTATTACGTCTGTGTGCCATGGGGCATAAGAAGGAAACTAGGATTAAATGTGCAGATGTAACATTCGCAACATTAGACACATGTACGTGTGTCTGACGTCGCGAAAGCTATCGAAAAAAATTTTGTCATAATAAAATATTGCCCAAATGATGACAAATTGTCAAATTTGCCGAACTTAACAATAATAGAGAGCTCCTAGAACTATACTTTTGTATTTTTAATAACTTGCAGGAATTATAACTGCAAAAACGAGCACTGCGAGGCTTCTAATGTCCAATTTGGAAGTTCGTTTGCAAAAATTTTATGTCGGGAATCAGTTTACTATGACGAAGTACACCGATATTGTGCTCGTGCAGTTATTCGGTTGTTGAAGAGATACATTTTAAAACCAGGGCATAACTAAGGCTAGGCTATTTTTCCTCTAGCTCCTTCGCGGGGCGCACCTCAAACGCCAAATTGTCTCTGCTTTGAAGACAAGCTAATATGTAAAAAAAAAAATTAGGCAACCAGTCGCCGCGCAAAACCTTTTTTGATGCAACTTATTTTTTTTCGTATAACAAAGACTACTGCTATCCCATATGGTTGCGCATGAAATCACAGAATTATTAAAAAAAAGAGCAAAGTCCAGTTAATCAGGTGTCTAGAGAACAAATACCCGTATAGGCCCGTCGGGCATTGACCCGATAAAGATTTAAAAAAAAATATTTTATGAACAGGTTGCGATGTTTTTTTATTACAAAGGTACGACCTGCAGTGATTGTGTTCCTCATAGTATGAACCATCGACGTCCTAATTCAACTATTATATTTTGAGTAGGTTACGATCAAACACTAGATCAGCAGAGGTTTACGAGCAATAGAGACGAAGCACCATACATTGGTCATCTTCTGTCAAGGGCACAGAATTCTCATTTTTGAGTACACATCAATGCAGAAAATGCAGCCTGATCTCTTTCAACAAAATGGCCGGGTGGCCCCAGTCATAGAAATACGTCTCCATTGCAATTACTCAAACCGAATCTTCCCCTGATTTGTTAATATAGCCACTGCTTAAGAAACTCAAGGCGTGGCCTTACGATGCTCACGGTTCTTGCCACGTTATTCACTCTTCCGCTTTATTGTCAGCTAATGCAGCAATAGAACTGATTGCAGAGCGATAATGATTATGAGATGCTCGGGCCTTGACACGCCATGCTTCTATTAAGTTGTAGTTGCCAGCTCTATAGGCGGATCACAGAGAAAATTACGGCAGATGTCGCAGATATGCGGAAGATTAGATTATTGAACGGATTAGGTTTTTAAGCATTCAGATAATCATAAGTTGAAAATATGGTGTTACATGTAACTTAAGCCAGTTTCTTGTAAGCAAACAGGAGTACAGTGTTGCCAGACGGAGAAAAAAAATTCAACAGATTGATCCCCAAGAAGTTAGTAGATTTGCACAAAAATCAGTAGATTCTACGAATCTGCTGATCTGCTGAGCTGGCCTACCAGAGTCAACAACTGGTGGGGGTTCGCCCCAATAAAGCTAAAGATGGCGGCGTCCGCCGCATCGCTACCCATGGCCAGCGCCAGCTAAGCACTTACGGCTGCGGAAGATTGGGGGACGTATCTAGAAAGTATCGTAGCAGCAAGCATTGTTGGAGGAGGTCTGATTCGGGGCCAGAGCTGCCGCCAGAACGATCACGGCACGTCGCGGAATCCACAGCTCGACGAAGGCGGCCATTGTGATGTCGATTACGATAAGGCTTTCGTTATCTCTCTTACTTGAATTTGTGTGAAACGTTCTGAGTGTCGTTTCCTTACTGTAAAAAAAAAATATTTTTTATTAGCGTTTATAATGAATGAAACCTGTGCTTATAATTCATTTCCACCACTTTAAGAAAAGGTAATTTGACATCAGTTTTTGTTTCGTTTCGGTTGCAACTGTGTCCCTTGACGCGAATCTCGACTGGGGTTGCAAGGCTTATGCACTGTGTAACACCGGACAGCTTAGTTGAGCTCAGCGGCTGTTGGGAGAGGCCAACGATCGTTGGCTTTATGAGAGTTGAGAGCGGTAGTGTAACCAGGGTATTAGACGCTTTACTTCGGACTTTAAAAATTGCGGCATTGTTACTTTGCTCTTCGGATATTAATCTGCCTGAAGCATCGGCCTTAAATATAAACTTCAATATGACTTTGCATACGGCAGACGGGAGCGATAGTTCTTTTTTTTTTCTCGCAAATATAGAAATAGTATAATTTTTTTTTGACCGCTAGACTCGCGTAGCAGCGCAGACGCGGTGCCAAGTTTTCAACGCTGTGTTGATCTTGATTGTTAAAGTATTCCGCGAAACAGCTTGCACCTGTCTTTAAACACACTATTGTCGTCGCGCGCGCGACCAAAAGGGTCGCTGTGGGAGAAATTTGCGATCGGCCATACCATAAATTCCTCTATACCAATAAGGGCTGCGGAATTGTCAGTTCATGGCGAGGCAAATCCTGCCGATCATGGCGAGGCAGAAGAAAACCCTGCCAATCACGGCGAGGCAAATCCTGATCGTGCCGTTACGAACGGAAAACGTAAGAGGGCGCCACGGAAACATCTCAGCGCTAATATATATTAACAACTTAAAAAAAAAAAAAAAAACGAGGTGCGTGGCTCATTATATGCGCGCTTCTTCATCTCGCATTCGTCGTTCTAATCTCCCAATACAGCGATCTCATTAGTGAAGGACATATATTAAAACGCAAGGTAGCCCTTGAAGACCTGAGTTTCTTAAACTGACCGTGGCCACCGAATATTCCTCCAAAGAACTTGTACCTGTCTCTTAATGATTCATTTTCTGTGATTGACAAACAAACAGAAGTAACAAGCAAAAACTACCGACACCGACAATCCTCAAACAATACCGTTATTACAACACTATGGCTCAAATACGTACATCATGCATAAGGTACCTTAGGCAGGCTTGCAATTTCTCGTGCTTACTTCACGAGCGCTGAAAGACTGCAAGCCTGCCAAAGCTACAGTCCCGTGAATGCTGCACGCCTTCGAGGCTTGTCGGTTGTTTCTCTTTTCGCTCTAGTGGAACTCGGATATGATAAGAATCCCGGGACTCGCCCTGCCCTGCATTTCGTAAGCTGTCAGTAACAAAAACAAACTGTGCAAAATGTTTTTCTAATATAATTTTGCTTTTACACGAATCCATTAGGAGACATCGAGTATAATACGATTTGTCTTTTTTTGTATTTATGCAGACGACGCACTGCAAGTGTTTGTGACCAAGTCTCACTACGAGAACTATGGTCGGAATGCCAGCTGCTGCGATTTTATTTACACCATGCTCTCCGGCTCGTCTCAGAAGTACGACATCTACGACGAGAGCTGCGACACACCAGAGCTCAACTCAAGCGTCGCTGGATATCGTGCCCACATAAAGTGTTACTGCTTTATACAGTATCTCGTTATTCATTGCGAAGGTGGTCCAGTCCTGGCCGGCTGTGCGGCATTTTTGAGGTTCTCTCACTAGTTTCTCTGAATTTAATTCTAATATGGTCCGTCCCAGGAATAAATAGAAAATTTTAGAATAGAAGGCCCGGTTCAAGTTGGGACATCGCGCTCCGCAGGCGCAGAAGTTCTACGCATTCTTAATGCGACGCCCCAAGCGGCTCTGGAGGCCCAATGTCTTGGGGTCCCTTATTCTAGAACTCTTTATTAGTAACGTTTGTATCAAGTGCTTAATTATATACGCAGCCTCTATTAGAGCCCTGCATGGGCCGGATTTTCTAGGCCCGGCCCGACCCGGCCTGGCAGAGGCACGGCCCGGGCCCGGCCCGAGCCCGACAGAATATTTAATTTCTAGGCCCGGCCCAACCCGGCCCGGAAGAGACATAGCCCGGGCCCGGCAGAATTTTTAGACAGAAGTTGGAGCCCGGCCCGAGCCCGACAAAAATGTTTTAAATATAAACCTGAGTCAGGCCCGAGCCCGACAGTTTATATTCATGAGCCCAAAAAAGTTTGCAGGCTTCAACCTAAATACTGTCTAAGCATAAAGCGAGCATATTTGATTTAAATTCCTTTTGGACTTGGATCGAGATTTTTTGACAAAATAAATATCCCGACTTGGTGTATTTTCGAGAATATTGGCGAAATATGCATTGTATAAGTGATTTAACGAAAAAAGTGCCGTATTCTTTATTTATGCATTTCTTGAAGAGATATCGCGCTTTTCGTTCTCCGATTCGTGTTAGAGAACTTTTCTCTCTACATGTTTTTGTGAAGAAACAATCACAATCACGCAAGTGCATATTCAAAAAGCTGTATAAGCATAAAAATATCTAGTTAGCTTATCCTTGGCGGCATAGTAAGGCTCCCTGCACAAAAGCAAAATCAAGCTCACGTTATTTTTCTTGTGTTCAGTTTGAAACGCAGAGGAAAAATGCACTCATGTTGTAACCTGCGACTGGAGTGCCCTCGGTTTCTTGACCGTACTTTCCCACTATGGTGGAGGAATCCATACGTTTCCTTTTATCCACGTGAAAGCTTTCCAAATGCAAGGCGTCTTTTTTTTTTTTTTTTTTTTAACAGCAGTTTAGTAATTTTGCATTTCGCTTGTTTGTTTTCATTGAACCGAGAAGATCAATGGGCACCTTTTTCGTTATCAACAATTTAAAATTTGTCGCACACGACTGCTCAGCCACGCCCCGGGCCGGCCCGGGCCGACATGGCCCGGATAATATTTTGTTCAAGCCCGAGCCCGGCCCGGGCCTGAGAAAATGCGTGCTACCCGGCCCGAGCCCGGCCCGCGGGCCGGGCCGGGCTCGGGTTTTTGGGCTGGCCCGGGCCCGTGCAGTGCTCTAGCCTCTATAGGGCCAGTTCAGCTCTGAGCGCTTTAGTTCCCTCGTGTCGACTGTAGCTCCGATGACGTGATGGTGTCGCATGATGACCGATGTAGGCGTGACGGTCTCACGTGACATTGTGGCGTAAGAGGACACCGTGATGTTACAGGGGAGCTATAAACGCTCTGCACCAACAGTTCCTCAAGAATATACCGAAAACACAGGACGTAATTTTGTTGTGTATTTAATTTCAGCCCAAAACGTGATACCTTTGCACGATCCCTTATGATCTAAGACTTGGGCCACTTAGGCGCTTGGCCGAGGATGAAAACATCTGGCCATTTTGTTCCACACTTTTAAAGCGGAGCTGCTAAGAGCTAGGTTCCCTAGGATTGTGTCCGGTACCAAACAAATGTTGACACAAAACTCTGGTTGCCGCCGTCGCTTACAGATGCCGGTAGCTGTCCAGAGTGTTGTGTCTGCCGGTCGTCTGTTTGCTGCCGTCGCTCATATATCGCAACAACCTTTCCAGCCTTTCAACTCTGGCTTGCCACTTGCGGACAGCCATTACTTCATTCCTACCATAGTACAGCTTCGCTGGTCTTCCTTCTTCACCAGAGTGGAAAGACTGACAGTTTTATTTTTTTGTTTTTGTTCAGAAGCGTGTGAAAGAGCGTTTCCCTGCACGCGTTTGTGGCGCTGACTGTGCTATGGCGACATTGTGTTTTCGTCGATTTCTTTGTATGTCACCCGCGGGCGCGTGCTGTCGGCATCGAGTATTACAAAGGGTGGCATAAGCCTAAACAGAATGTGACATTAAGCACCCTAGGGCGGCCTAGCTTCTCTTCCAGCAACTATTGATGACGACGCGGCTGTTCAGTTTTGCGAGGCGAGCTGCTGACAGTCCAAACACACTGCTGGAGCGAGCGCTATTTGTCCTTAAGTTTTATACAAAAAGTAAAGACAATAGTTTCTTATGCGCTTCGCACAGGGAATGCTTCGACATGCATTCATTTACAACACTCGTTTATTTAGAACGCAAATAGAAATCTCAAGATTACGTGTAAAAAGACAGCTGGGAAAAAATTAAAAAAAAACCTGTTCATCAACCAATCACCACAAACGCAATCATCCCTCTGGTGATTTTTCCGCCAAACATGAGCGTCCAGAAAATCAGCACCAACACCGTTTCATGGTTTAAATAAAAATCAAGTAATAGTTTTTCAAACTATTCTGAATTATAAATCTCAACAAAAAGGTGCGAAGCCAATAAATTCTACCCCTCAATTGTTTTTACTAGGAAAAAATATTTAGAACACCAAGGTTCGGGCAGAGATGTTTGCCACCAAGAATATATTTACACGTGCTTAGGGAGGCGTAGTCATACACTCCACACTTGGGAGGTATGATGTCACCCAAACCCGCCCAAAGCGTCCGTTTAGCTGATTGCTCAATATGGCTGAAAGCACCGATTTGGCCGAAGGGTTCATTGAGGGTAAACGCCTAAACTGGCTAGAATCTTCAATTCTGCCAAAACGCTTCAATTCGGCGAAATTTGCAATTTGGCTAGATTCTACAATTAGGCAGGATGCTGCAGTTTGGGTCAAGCATCTCGATTCGGCAAGGGCATCTGATTTAGAGGTAATATTGACTAAGGTATTCCCAACGCGCTTGAGTGAATAAAATATATCTGTATTATGCTTTACCATTTAGATTGCAAGTTAAACCTTCCTCCACATTAAAAGGTATCGCGGCACATGGTAGCCACTATTGCCTGCCTGTAACCGTGATTCGTGTTTGTATTTATCACATTGAGCTGCTGTGCACATACTACTCCATGCTTCAAGCGAACTAGTTAATTTTCTTGTCCACACAGTGAATAACAGCTCTCCAAAGGTCATCTCTTCTTTAAGAGCTGGTCTCCATTAACTTCTTAAAGGCAGGACGTCCTGGCTGGTCCTTTGTTGAACAACTGAGGTGCAAAATATGAGATATACGAGGCGTGATAAAAATCGTAAGGTCTGACTTTGTAGCGTAAAAAGAGAGGACGGCGAAGTGATGCGAGCGCATCAGCGAAAGGAAGGAAGCTTCGTGTCTCGTTCTACAGAAGGGCGTCGCTCTGTGAACATTTGGAGTTGCTCTACACGCGTTTTTGTTTCCACGAGCCGTGGCACAATGGCAATTTCTTTATATCTTTATCCTTAGTCAGGTACACACTTCGCCATCAGGCATTACACTGAGGGGGGGGGACAAAGAATATATAGACGCACAAAACTATTCACACATTCAGAGCGTGAAAAAAGGCGTGATTGGAACCTATCGGGAGAGAGCGCGATGGAAGGGAGTTCCAATGGTGATCGGTCTCTACAAAAAAGATTGTCGCTGTACGTTCCCCTTAAGAGTAATTTCTAAAATTTTTAAAGCATAGTCGTTCCCACTGGATACGTTTAAAGGTGCTTCCATATATGTATCATTTTCTACACCGGTTTTACCGTAATAAATATCGGTAAAACATTTGAGACGGAGGAACTTTTTGCGATCATTTTATAATTGCCTCTTAAGCTTATGTTTCCAGTCGGTCATACTTAGTCACCGATCGTAATTATTTAAAACAAACCTCAAAGAAAAATGTTGTATTTTTTCAAGTTTTTGGTTCAAAAAGGCGGTATAAAGTTCCCAGACAACGCAGGCATATTTCAGAATAGAACGAACGTGTAAAACGTTAATGGCTTCTCTGAGCGACTGAGGTACAGTTCTGAAGTTTTTGACGCAAAAAACCCTAGAGTCCGTGAGGCCTTAAAGGAAACATATTCAACATGCGAATTTAAACGCAGATCGGATGTAAAGTGGGTAAAGTGGGTTTAATGTGGGTTTCTTTATGGAGATCCCTCTACTAATAATCCCGCCCGATCGGTATGCGCTCCGCCCGTCACTCAGGGAGTGACATACAGCAACGAGAAGACAGCGAATGGGTTTACTGTACCTCTCGGTTGCCCGTCGTCGAGAGCCGGTGGTCCAGGCCCGCCGACCCTTGTTGTCGCCCGTCGATCAGAGCTCACAGTCGGGGTCCGTGTCCAGGCCTGCGGATCGCTTTTCCACGCCAGCGCTGCGTAGGCTGGCTGTCCCGGGCTATCAATGCCCGAGTCTCGCTGCGGAACCACCCCGGGATCGTCATAGCCCAGGTCATATGGCCCGGGCTCGCCGTTTCCACCGGTCTTGCTCCAGACCTCGCTGGTGGACCGCTCTGGGGTTCGTTATGGGCCAGGCTAGGCAGCCCCGGCTCCGTCGTTCTTTGTCCAGCTTCCAGCCTCGCTCAGCTCGCAATGTCTCGCGCCAGCTCATGTCTTCTCTGCCGGCCGCCTGTCACGTGCCCTCTGCCTCGTCTTTCGCCCCCGGCTCCCACACTCTCCCCCCTCAAGGCCCGGACTTCGGGGGACTTCATGGGCCTCTGGGAGCCGCTGGGTTTCATGGGCGGCCGCTGTTGCTGTTGCCGGAGTGGCCACGTTGCAGCGTCCGAAAGCGGCGTAGGTGGTGGTGGCTAGCGAAGCCGGCAGA